CAATCCCTTCTCCTCCATTCTCCTCTCGGGATCTTGGGCACGCACGCACACGCGCCCGGCGTGAGTTTTAAGCGACCGGGTCGGGGACACGAACCGCGGTCGACTACGTGGGAGTCCAGCGACATAGCCATTACGCTAACTGCTGGTTCCCCCTCATGATTTTTCTTGAGGTTGTGTCATTGGCAGAGACTCTTGGCTCTGATGTTGGATGAGCCTCTTTCAAAGAGAGGAATTCCATAGAAGATGGGAGACTCTTCTTTCTGTGTTACAGGCCTCAGACCTGAAGAGAAGTTAGGAGTGGAGAAGGAATTAAAGATGGCTCTGCCTGGGTCTGAGGAAGGGACTCCATTAAGGGTAAGATTCCAGGCAGAGCTAGAGCTGGGGAAGCAATAGAGATTCTTCAACCTCTGTTAGTACTAAGGGTCCATTAGGTATTTCATTGCATTAACAATAGGAATCCTGCAGGGCCTGCAGGTAGCATAGTGGTTATGTCACTGGACTCCCACATGGCTGATTGTAGTTCTAGTTCTGGACCTGTGGCTTGAAAATCATGGTGGGTGTATATGTGTGCATGCCCACCCAAGATCCCAGGAGGAAAATGGAGAAGGGATTGCGGTGTGGTTATACCCCCGAGGGGTGATTTCTCATTTTCCCTCTCACTATCTCTGTCTCTCAGTCTCTATAGAGTACAAGCACCCTAAGGCAAAAACCTCTTTAAAAAAAAAAAGAAAAAAGGACCAGCAGGTGGTGTGATGGTTAAGGGTGCTAGACTCCCACATGGCTGACCACGGTTTGAGTCCCAGACCTGGCGGCTTGCTTTCTCACTTTCTCTTTCTCTCACTTGCTCACTTTGTCCCTCTTTGGTCAAATTAAAACAAACAAATAAAGTTAAATAAAATAATTATTTTTTAAAAAAGAGGAGGCCAGCAGGTGGTATGGTGATTAAAAGTGCTGGATTCTTACATGGCTCACCACAGTTCAAGTCACAGACCTGAAGGCTTGCTTTCTCAATTTCCCTTTCTCTCTCTCTGTCTGGTCAAATTAAATAATAATAATAATAACAAATGGAATTAAATAATTATTTTTTAAAAAAGAAACAAATGGACATAGGCACTCATACACTCAAGTACACAGTTACATTCACTTACATAGTCATGCACAAATACACTCACATATCACACACCTGGCAAATACAAACACACTTATATTTATAAATATTCCAAATGATACAAACTCACAGACTTACTTTCATAAAATCAACTAACATAGTCACTGTGCGTGTGTATCTTGGTAACATGTTCATATAGCTATTCATATACAGAATAGTTGTATCTCTCTTATCTCTGGATGCCAGAAAAGAGGGTCATTTAAAAAGAAAAAGAAAGGGCCAGCAGGTAGCATGGTGGTTAAGGTGCTGGACTCCCATATGGCTGACCGCAGTTTGAGACCTGGACCCGGTAGCTTGCTGTCTCATTTGCCTTCTCTCTCTCTCTGGTCAAATTAAAAACAAACAAACAAACAAAAAACAATAATAAAAATTTAAATAATTCTTTAAAAAAAAAGAAAAAAGGGAACCAGCAGTTAGTGTAATGGCTATGTCACTGGACTCCCACGTAGTCAACCGCGGTTCACGTCCCGGACCCGGTGGCTTAAAACTCATGCTGGGCATGTGTGCGTGCGTGCCCAAGATCCCAAGGGGAGAATGGAGGAGAAGGGATTGTGGCGTGGCCATCCCCCCTGGAGGGTGATTTCTCGCTTTCTGTCTCTCTGTTTCTCTCTGTCTGTCTGGTGAGCGTACACGCCCTATAGCAAAAACCTCTTAAAAAGAAAAAAAAAGAAAAAGTAAAAGGGCCAGCAGGTGACATGGTGGTTAAGGCGCTGGATTCCCACATGGCTGACTGTAGTTTGAATCCTGGACCTTGCAGCTTGCTTTCTCACTTTCCCTTTCTCTCTATCTCACCCTGGTCAAATTAAAAAATAATAACAATAATAGTAAATAAAATAATTTCTTTTTTAAAATATGTATTTATTTATTTATTTTTATTTATTCATTTATTTTAACTTGACCAGAGAGGGACAGGGTGAGAGTGAGAATGAGAGAGAGAGAGAAAGCAAGCCTCCAGGTCCAGGATTTAAACTGTAGTTGGCCATGTGGGAGTCCAGTGCCCTTCACCACCACACCACCTGCCAGCCCCAAAATTAAATAATTCTTGAAAAAAAAAAAAAAAGAAAGAAAGAAAAATTAGGTAGGGCTGGACCTGTGGTCCAGTGGTTAAGTGCTATGCATTGGCTGCTGGATTCCACATTGCCAACCATAGTTTGAATACTATCCCCCATGGCAAAAACACACTAGGCATGTGTGCTTGCATGCTCAAAATCCTGATGTGAGAGCGAGATGGTGGAAAAGGGATTACAGCTTGACCAAACTCGACTGTAAGGTTTCTTGCTCTCTTTCACAGGTGACCTGGTCATTAAAAATTAAGGTTGGGGACCAACAGGTGGCATGATGGTTAGGGGCTCTGGACTCCCACATAGCCAACTGTGGTTCAAGTCCCAGACCTGGAGACTTGCTTTCTCACTTGTCCTCTCTATGTTCTCTCTTGAAATATTAAAATAAAAGTAAAGTGCAATAATTCTTAAATAAATAAAAATTAAGGTTGGTGGCCAGCAGATGCTATAGTGGTTATCTTGCTGGATTCCCACATGACCAACCATGGTTCAAGTCCCAGACCTGGTGGCTTGCAAATCACACTGGGCCCATGTACATGTGTGCCCAAGATCCCGGGAGGAAAATGGAGGAGAAGGGATTGCAGTGTAATCATTTCCCCTGTGGAGTGATTTCTCACTTTCCCTCTCACTGCCTCTCTCTCTCTCTCTCTCTGTCTCTGTCTCCAGTGAGCACATACACCCTAAGGCAAAAATTTCTTTAACAAAACAAACAAAAACCTGGTGGTGTCAGCAGGTGGTGTAGTAGTTAAGGCACTGGACTCCCACATGGCTGATCGGGGTTCAAATCTTGTTCCTGACAGCTTGAAAATTATGCTGGACATGTGTGCCCAAAATTCCAGGAGGAAAATCGAAGGAAAAAGATTGTGTTGTGGCCATCCTCCCTAGGAGGTGATTTCTAACTTTCCCTCTCAACTGTCTCTCCTCTCCTGCAAGTGTACTGCCCTCTGGGGAGAAAATTTAAATATAGTGAGTGAAAAATATATCCAGTGTATTTTAATCAGTCAATCAACTATTGTAGAATAGTAAGATAATTATCAAATAAAATAGATGTATGTTAAAGCCGTTTGAATTGGGGGTCAGCAGGTGGCGTGGTGGTTAAAGGCGCTGGACTCTCAAATGGCCAACCACAGTTCAAGTCCCAGAACTGGTGGCTTGCTTTCTCACTTCCCCGCCCCCCTGTCTCTTTCTGATCAAACTGGAAAATAATAATAAAAATAAAGTAGGACCAGCAGATGGTGTAATGGTTATGTCACTGAACTCCCATGTAGTCGATAGTGGTTTGCACCCTGGACCAAGCGGCTTGAAACATGCCAGGTGCATGTGCGTGCGTGCCCAAGATCCTGAGAGGAGACTGGAGGAGGGAGTGGGGTGGTCATTCCCCCTAGGGGAGATTTCTCGCTTTCTATCTTTCTGTGTGTCTCTGGCAAACTCATGAGCCCTATAGCAAAAACCTCTCTAAGAAAATAAAGTTAAGGGAACCAGCAGTTAGCGTAATGGCTATGTCGCTGGACTCCCATGTAGTCGACGGCAGTTCGCATCCTGGACCTGGTGGCTTGAAACTCACGCCGGGCGCGTGTGCGTGCGTGCCCAAGATCCCATGGGGAGAATGGAGGAGAAGGGATTGTGGCATGACCATCCCCCCTGGGGGATGATTTCTCGCTTTCTGTCTCTGTGTCTCTGTCTGGCGAGTGCACGCGTCCTATAGTGAAAACCTCTCAAAAAAAAAAAAAAAGAAAGAAAGAAAGAAAGAAAAGAAAGTTAAATAAAATAATTTTTTAAAAAAGCAGTCTGCATTATTTTAATTAGTATTAAAAACTAAAATTTACAGGGCCAGCAGATTCCATAGCAGTTACACTGCTGGATTCCCACTTCCTATTCCCACTGCTGGTTGTGGTTCAAGTTCTGGACCCAATTGCTTGAAAATGCCCAGGATCCCAGGAGGAGAATGGAGGAGAAGGAATTGCAGCATGGCCATGCCCTGGGGGGAGGGGTGTGTGATTTCTTATTCTCTCTCTCTCTCTCTGGCTAGTACATGCACCCTAAGGCAAAAACCTCTTAAAAACCAATTAATTAAAAAACCTAAATTTAACAGGCTAGCAGATGGTGTAGTAGTTACAGTGCTAGACTCCTACACAGCCAACCATGGTTTGAGTCCCAGACCCAGTGGCTTGAAAATACCTCTGGATGCACGTGCATGAATAACCAAGATTCTGAGAGGAGAATAGAGGAGAAGGAATTGCAATATGGCCATCCCCCTGAGGGAGTGATTTCTCACTTTCTCTCTCACTGTCTCTGTCTCTCTCCCTGGCAAGTGCATGCACCCTAAGACAAAAACCTCAAAAACAAATACTAAAATTTACATTTCTTCCATACAATTTTCAATATTGCTTGATGGACAGTAAACATAATGTGAATGACATCCATATACACTTGCACCCCCCACACACATATACATACAATCATGTATGTGTATGTGTGTGTACACACCACTCTGTTAAAATATGTCTGTTTTACAGTTGCACTTTTGATTCTGTGAGGTTGAATGAATAAACAACTAGACACTGCAAAAAATGGTTTACATGTCTCCCTTAAGATTAGGGACTTTCTTATTCTTTATCCAGGCCAGACAGAACATAAGTGCACTGGAGTCCCGACTCTTGAGCAGAAAGGGGCTGATGGTTGGGAAACACGCGTTAGTTATTGCAGCGGAGCTCACTAGGAGCTTGTTGCAATTACTTAAAAAAGTCAAAAAAACTTGAAAAATGCAGGAAAGAGCGTAAAAACTGACAAAGGTGCTCACTACCAGAAGGATGGTTTTGGTAGCCTTGGACTCAGCAGAGGATCTGGGGGAGACATTGGGCCTACGGATGTGTTGGACCTGTTGCTTGTGCCTGTGCAAGGTTACAACCATGGAGCTGCTGGCCCAGAGCATGAGTCCCAAGTACACAACATCAGGCAATGACAACATGACAGCATAAAGTGACGACACGGCGGTCTCGCTGTTTTTTGCAGAACAGTTCCTTGGATCCGTTTTCATTGTGATATTTGCATGGCACCATTTGCTAGTCACATTGCTGAGGAAAATGATATTTACAAGCAAGGAGAGAATCCAGCTCAGGAATATGAAGAAGCCGGTATATTTGGGATCCTTCACTTTAAGCTCTGCCCACCTGGAGTTCCTGGGGCTGATTGTGACTGCCTGAAGAACACTCAGCAGACAGGTGCTCCCTATGGACACACTTCTGCCCACTCTGTGGAGGTAGGAGAGAAGTTTGCATCCCAAATCACTGATGAAATCTCTCAACCCAAAAGCCGCCATCGTCTGGGGCACTCCTTTACAGAGGAGAGTTAAGAAGTTGGCTACAATGAGGTGCTTAATAATCAAGTCTGGGGACTTCAACCTGTACCCACTGAAGTAAAGACACATGTGATGGAAAAGAAGCGAAAAATTCCCCCAAACTCCAATCGTTGTTTGTAGGAAGAAGATCATTCCTATTGTCACATCACTGGCGGCCATCCTGTCAGTTCCCAGCCTGCTGAGCCACAGAGTCCTGTGTGGAACATGGACATAGGCCACATTTATCGTGCCAACAGAAAGCCGGCCTGCTCCCACTGAGAAATCAGCATTTAATGGTTTTCTTTTGCTACGAGAATTCCAAGAGTCGAGTGTATGATTTTTAATAAGTGCATATAGGGTGTAATTCACTACTATAATGGCAGCATAAAGGCAGCACTTCATTCTTCACAAACGGTGAGGCAGGCACCACCGAGTTTTAATTTTGGTTGTAACAAGTTACTGTTTACCTGTAAGGATTTCTCTGTGGGCCAGCATCCTGAGTGAAGGTTTAGATATCTTAGTGTAAATGTGCCCACGGCAACGTAACACTGCAGGAACCTGCCCCGTGACAAGTTATGTGTAATGACAGTAATGGCTCAGCATCCAGATAGCTACAGAAAGACTCATCAGTTTTTATGTTAAGAACACAATTTTAATGGCACCTATCACAGGCATTGTTGAAGAATCACATCAGGTCTAAACTTTGGAATGTACAGCATCAATATATAATAAAGTAGTGTAGCTTAGAAACAAACATAATCATTTCAGATCATATGCTTCTCTATGAATTAATACCTGAGTTGAGTAAAACTATGAGCAATAAATCATGAATTGTGATTGAGACTAAAGTAGAAGCCACTATGCAAAATGCCATATGTATGACATGAAATCCTGTGCATTAAAAATTTAAATAGTGGGACCAGCAAATGGCATGGTGGTTGAGAGTGCTAGACTCTCACGTGGCCAACTGCGGCTCGAGTCCCAGACCTGGCAGCTTGCTTTCTCACTTTCTCTCAACAGAAAGACTCATCAGTTTTTATGTTAAGAACACAATTTTAATGGCACCTATCACAGGCATTGTTGAAGAATCACATCAGGTCTAAACTTTGGAATGTACAGCATCAATATATAATAAAGTAGTGTAGCTTAGAAACAAACATAATCATTTCAGATCATATGCTTCTCTATGAATTAATACCTGAGTTGAGTAAAACTATGAGCAATAAATCATGAATTGTGATTGAGACTAAAGTAGAAGCCACTATGCAAAATGCCATATGTATGACATGAAATCCTGTGCATTAAAAATTTAAATAGTGGGACCAGCAAATGGCATGGTGGTTGAGAGTGCTAGACTCTCACGTGGCCAACTGCGGCTCGAGTCCCAGACCTGGCAGCTTGCTTTCTCACTTTCTCTCACTCTGTCCTTGTCTGGTCAAATTAAAATAAAAATAAGTAAATGTAATACAAAATCATTCTTTTTAAAAAATTTAAAGAGTTGAGGCCATCAGGTGGCATGGTGGTAAAGGGCACCAGTTGACCACAGTTCGAGTCTTGGACACGGCAGCTTGCTTTCTCACTTTCCCTCTCTTCTCTCTCTCTCTCTCTCTCTCTCTCCCTCTCTTGTCAAATTAAAAATAAATAAATTAAATAAAATAATTCTTAAAAAATTTAAAATAAGGGACCAGCAGATGGCATGGTGGTTAAAGCACTGGACACTCCCACATGGTCAACCACGGTTCAAGTCCCAGACCTGGTGGCTTGTTTTGTCACTTTCTCTCTCTTTCTCTCTCTCTCTGGTCAAATTTTAAAAAATAAATGAATAAACAAGAATTAAATAATTATTTTAAAAATTTTAAATAGTGGATTTGGGACTTTTAATTTAAAAATACATATTTTGGGGGCTGGCAAGTTGCCTAGTGGTTAAAGGCACTGGATTCTCAAATAGCAAACCACGGTTCAAGTCCCGGACCAGGTGGGTTGCTTTCTCACTTTCCCTTTCTCTCTCTCTGGTCAAATAAAAGAAATAATAATAACAAATGGAGGGCCAGCAGGTTTCATGGTGGCTAAGGGAGCTGGACTCCCACATGGCCGACTGCAGTTCAAGTCCCAAACCTGGTGGTTTGCTTTCTTGCTTATTCTCTCTCCCTCTTACCCTGTTCCCTCTCCGGTCAAATTAAAATAAATAAATAAATAAGTAAAGTTAAATAAAATAACAAATGGAACTAAGTAAATTTTTTTTTGTGTGTGTGAGAGGTTTTCACTATAGGGCGCGTGCGCTCGGCAGACAGAGACAGAGAGACAGAAAGCAAGAAATCACCCCCCGGGGGAATGGTCACGCCGCAATCCCTTCTCCTCCATTCTCCTCTCAGGATCCTGGGCACACATGCACACGCGCCTGGCGTGAGTTTTAAGCCACCGGGTCCGGGACGCGAACCACGGTTGACTACGTGGGAGTCCAGAGACATAGCCATTACGCTAACTGCTGGTTCCCCAATAATTTTTAAAATATGTATATTTTCATAGACTTTCTTGTTTGGAGTAGTTTAGAATCAAAACTGAGGAGAAGGTAAAGAGATTTCCTATATACCTCCTGAGTACACAGTCTCAACTATCAAATTCCCACTTCAGAATGATACATTATATAAAATTTAGTAGAATAATTTTTAAACAAGTGAAAAAAATTACATCTGACAGCTGCTGCCAAAAATTCATAATTATAATGTTAACATATCTTTTAGCATTGCTTTTCCAACTTGAAATAACTTCATAATAATCACTGCCAGTGTTAAAACTCAGTATTGTTAGAACTGTCTCCATTAATTGCATCATTCACCCTGAGTTAGAGAAAACCCTTTTCAAATGCTTACTATTCACATATATACTCCATACAAGACTAGCTGGTTTGCGTAGGTTTTTTCTCATCTTTATGATAAGCATGAAGAGATTACAGAAGCACCTCTAGTAATCCCGAAGATTTAGTATTCGATTCCTGTAAAGTAGGCTGAAGAACAAATTGATTTTAATACAATATTTTATGCACCTTTAAAATCAGATTTTGTTATCACTTAGATTAAACCACAACAATTACTGTTAGTGAAGATTCCATTAAGTTAAATTAGAGAGCCATCACCATCAAATTGGTGTAGGGTCTGGGACCCCCATTTCTCTTCACTAGCTGAACACATTACTCAGGAACTAATTTTCCCTCTGTGGCTTTGGTGTTCTACCAGGTTTGCTGCAAAAGAACACCCTTTCTGATATGATTACTTACCCTAATCTCCACATGAGTTTTCACTGGTAGTATCTCATACTGAAATAAAAGATACTCACCAGTCTTTCTCTTTGCCAGGATGAGGAGCTCAGTGTGGTGGGCACTATGACCAGTATGTGTGTGGCAGGGAAACAGCCAGACCCTGATATATCTGTTTGTGATCTGTGACCTCATCTCCCCAATGAATGCAATTATCATTACAGCTGTAGTTGCAATGAGAATACAGGTTTGGGAGCTGAGAATATTTTTGAAAACTATTTTCCCAGTTGCTAATTATCAAAAACAATCACAAGCTTCTAACTCTTTTTTTTTTTTTTTTTTTGAGAGAGAGGTTTTTTGCTATAGGGCGCGTGCGCTCGCCAGAGACAGAGAGACAGAAAGTGAGAAATCACCCCCCAGGGGGGATGGCCACGCTGCAATCCCTTCTCCTCCATTCTCCTCTCTGGATCTTGGGCACGCACGCACATGCGCCCAGCATGAGTTTAAGCCACCGAGCCCAGGACTCGAACTGTGGTCAACTACATGGGAGTCCAGTGACATAGCCATTACGCTAACTGCTGGTCCCTAGCTCACTTTTCTTAAGAGAGTATTGAAGTGTTTGGAAGAGGCTCTTACTTTTCCATGATCCCTAGAGTCACACGTGGTCTCACAGAGGGAGCAGGAGATGCTGCTATCTAACAGTTGGGTGACTAGCAGTGAGCTTTGCATGTCCTGCTGTGCACTTTGCCTCCTGAGAAGTTTGTCCATTCAAACTCTGTTCTTTCTTTATTTTCATTTCACTGACCTGCACCATCATTTAAGTTGTTAGCAGAAGAAGGAGATGAGACAATACCTGGGGAGGATTTTCAGGGAGATATAAGAGGAAGAGGACAATGTTTATAATTTATGTTAGAAATCATTGGACACAAGCCAGCAGGTGGCAGAGTGGGTAGAGTTGGATCCCACATGGCCAGTTGAGCAGTTCAAGTCTTGGATCTGGTGGTTCGAGAAACATGCCAGCTGCATGTGCATGTGTGTCCCGACTCCCTGAGAGGAAAATGGACGAGAGGGAAATATGGTATGGCCACCCCACTCCCTAGGGGAGATTTCTTACTTTCCCTCCCTCTCCAGGGAGTGTGTGTATACTATAGCCAAAATTTTTTTTAAAAAATCATGGATCAGCAGGTGGTGTGGAGGTTAGGGTAACTGGATCCCCACATGGCTGACTGTGCAGTTCAAGTCCTGGACCCAGTGGTTTGAAAATCACACTGAGCATGTATGCATGAATGCCCAAAATCCCAAGAGGAGAATGGAGGAAAAAGGATTATGGCATGGTTATCCTCGTGGGGGTAATTTCTCTCTCAAGTGCATGTTCCCTTTAGTAAGCTAAAATAAAAAAAAAAAGTCTACAAAGGATTCAAAACCATGGTGAGGAAGAGCAAGGGGAATATGTGTGGACTGGGCAGATCCTGGAAATGTGTATCTGTCCAGGCAGATACAGCGTGGGATGAGGCCCGATCAGTGGTGCATGTTGCTATGACGCTGTGCTTTATAGGCTGGGATCACACGAGAGGCCCAGGGACAACAGAAAGGTCAGGCGTGGTGACATCCACCTATAATCCCAGAGACGAGGGAGGCTGAAGCAGGAGGATTGTGAGCTGAAGTATGGCTTGAGCAACAAAATGGGACCCTGTCTAAAACAAAGCAAAACCAAACAAAAACCAGTTTCTAGAGTGTGGGAAGAGAAGACGGAGACTGGAGGGGATAATGGGCAATGTGAAGGTGTTGGAGAGGAGGGCAAACATGAACGAGCAGGGCCTTACGGAACTTAAGAGCCCAGCAGAAAACTACAAGGATATAGCCCTGGGTATAACAGTTTCTGTTTGTGGGGAAGTTGAGGATGCCTGATAGGTGAAGTGTGTACACT